GGTCTTATCTTCTTTTATTCTTCTTGTACAAATCAGATGGAGCACGCGGCAAATGTTTCACCGTCGTTCGTCGTTCGTCGTTCGTCGTTCCTCGTTCCTGCGTCTTGGATAACTAATTAAATAAATATTCATAACGAGTATCCAATTTAATATTCGATACGTGCCCTCGTTTATTTCACTAAGCCCTTTAATCTGTATTGTAACGTTATGTATCCAAGCACATCGACGCACATCGACGCACATCGACGCACACCAACTCACACAACCAAATCTATCGATTTATGAATATTATTATTATTATTATTATTATTATTATTATTATTTATTCTCTTGTTATATATTTCATTCATTAAGGCTAACATTGGTCTTGTGACTCTTATAAGATATAATATTGTAAATCGATTCTTATTCGCATAATCAAGTGTAGCCAAGCTTTGAGTATGTTCTTATGCAACTTCATATACACGTATTTGTGCCTCAGAATCATAGGTAAGGTAGTTGCAAAGAATTCTATAATGCCATCGAGATAGTTTTTCAACCTATAAATTATGCATATCGATTATTTATTAGTCTTTCACAAATTTATAAATACAACACGTGAGAAATATCGACTTTAACATTATGAATTGTGCTTACGAAAATTGCATAGTAAACGAGATTTTTCTCGAACTTATTACTATATGATACGTAATGTCGTATAATAAATGACGATTTTTGTTTGAAATTGAAACCTCGGGTCTGTTTATGCATTAAAGTCATTCGTATTTACACGTTTACATTAATTTCATATAATCTTTTCAAGTTATAACGTTTTTCAAAAACTTCGGTACTCACGCGCACGCGCATTTTCCAATATACATAATGCTTTGATAGTAATTCTCTTTGCCGGCTGATAATTGATTAATGTTGTTAATTTTTATTTTCGAAAAATATCGAAAAGCACTTACTGGGGCATGTATGTACGAATTTTTATATGAAAAATCTTATAAATATAATAAATCGAAGGATACAAGACATATGAAAGACATGAAGCAAAACTAAAGTACACATACTAGTATAATTTTCCACGTTAAGTCTACGTTAATAAATATAAATTTACCAATTCTGATATCAGTGATATTCATAACGATATTCGATATGCATTATAATTATACTAATTATATATATTATTATTTTATGAAAATTTATCCTAATTATACAAATTTATCTAAGAGAGTATTCCTATACGTCAGCTGCACGTACACAAATTCCATTATGCTGATAATAGATGTACATAACGTGATGATAAGTATAACAAGGTAAAACAACAACTGTAACACAACTTGTTATTGTAAAGACGTGAAAATAAAAATGTGTATTATTGTAATAAAATTCGTGGCTTGCTTTATAAAATAATTAAGAATATTTGTCGTAGATATAGAATTTAGAATCATACAGGACAGATAACCATATAGGACTAATTTTCGATCGCGGTTTCAATAAGTTTCAATAACTTATCAACCATGAATCCAACTAAATATTCTCGATCTTTCAAACTATTTGCTCGTAGCATCTATTAACGTCATTGTAATCTTCGTAGTCCTTCAAATAAGTCATTATCTGATGGATTCGTGGCTGTTATTCCATCTATTGTAAATACTTTCAGAGATTAGTGAGGAATGTATAGCTTTCCGAATAAATGTTTAACTTGCTAATGAACACTTTATCATCTATTTCAAACATTAGCTTCTCGATATTTTATTTTCCTATACTATTTCAAATACAAAACTTCAATTTATTTCAATAGTTTTTACAATTATTATCTTCGATTACATTTTCAAGAAATAAATATTCTAAATTACATTTATAATGTTATGTACAAAAAAAAAAAAAAAAAAAAAAAAAAAAAAAAAAAATTAATCATGGAGATAACTTCAAAACATTTGCTTTGAATTTAAATCGAGAAACAATTTTGCGAATGGAAATATCGATTCACTCCTTCGCGTTACATGATTGGATAGTTGATTTACAATTCCAATAAACTCCATGAAGGAGAATGTAAGCAATTCATGATGATTAGAGATGAATAGAGAGAAAATGAAAATAAAATGAAAAATGAATATCGACGTCTTTTATAATTAGAGAAAAATTATATAATATTGTGGATTAAGGATTTTGTTAGAGTTTATTCGAAAAATACCCTCTACTTGGTATGTAAATATATGTGTTGTTTCTTTGTCTAAATATACGTGTAAATATATGTGTTTCTTTATCGTGAAGCATTCACATCTATTTATACGCATATAAGTGATGACGCTTACCTTCTCTATCTTTTCCTCTCTAATGGCCAAAAAAAAAAGCTCATGTATAAAAAGGTAACCTTATTATTTATCTAAAAATTTATGATAGTTAACGTGAATCCCAATTTGATAAAGTTTTATTGCAATGTTAATGTAAAAAATGAATAGAAATATAAATGGTAAAAAATTATTATTTGAATAATTATAGTGATAATTTGTGAATCTAAAGTCATAAATTTATTTATACATTAAGTAAATTAAATTACTTTTGTAAACCCTATTATAATTATAATGACGACGTTAACGACGATAATGATACTTATGATGATGACGATGACGATGACGATTATTATGATTATGTTGATAATAATAATAATAATAATAATAATAATAATAATAATAATAATAATAATAATAGCTATAATAATAATATGTTGTAAGATTTAATGTTTTTCATATTATTAATATTATTTTAGATAATAATTGACAAATAATAATTATAATAACGTTTTATTTTAATCCGTTAATGCTGATATGTACGCGATGTTGATAGAGTGTTCATTTTGACTGTGAGTATGATTTGGACAAGAAAATGCATTGTCAACATTGATTTAACTGGATAGAGTTGCCCTCGCGCATCACTGATAGATATCATCACAGAATCGTAAGATTTAAGGTTTTATTTTAGGAGTGATTAAAATTACCGCTACTTATTCTACGGCTACATTAATTCTTTTCAATAATTCCAAATCAAGTTTTATTGTTAATGATTATTATTCATAAGAGAGCAATGTAACATATCACGATAATTCAATCACTGAAAATTCGTTCATCCATATTATACTTTAAATCATATTGTTATTGTTAAAACTTATTGTTGTTATTATTATTCGTGACTATTATTATCGCTGTTATTGTTGTTATTATTAGGTGCCCCGTATGACGTATAATCGACGGATATTAGAAGGTTACAATTCCTTGCGATCAAAGTACTGCTACGCTAGAATAGGCATGAACTTCAAATTGTTTGTGCAAGAACCAACATCTAGTTCACTTTCAAAAGCAAATCAATGATTTTTACCTTTTTCTTTTTATTAATTTTCAATTTCCTAGATGAATTTATATAAAACACGTTTACGGTTCTCCGCACAATTTTTCATTGTTATTTATTTAGCTTTATGAATATAAAATACAAATACGTAACAATTTTGTGCGCGGCTATCGGTATATTCTCTTTAAAGTTTTCGGTTTAACGCCATTGAAAAGAATTAATGCTTCGACTGTATTTGATAGGAAATATCCGAGCATAATTTCTTCCGGAAATATCAATTGAAAATTACAGTATTCGTTCTATAATCATTACTAACTTTTCCATTCTAAAGTTCTTCAAGTATTTAGTTTACAATACAATTATCAGTATTTAATTCGTCTTTTTTTTTATTTGATGAGGATAACATAAAAAGTATTTGATTAAATAATTTATGCAATGACTTTAATTGTGTATAACAAATACAAGTTTTATTTATTTAAAAGCAATCATGTTATATCAATTATTATAGTAAATTGTGCAATTACTTTACAATATTATGATATAATGAAATTGCAAGACCATTTACGAACTAAACATATTTTACTATTTCAATAATAATTTATGAATGATTTATATTAATATTTAGTAAAAATATTTTTAAAATTGCATCGATACATCATATATATAATACTTAAAAATATACATAAAATTTAATGTCGCAGCTTATATATTATAATTAATCGTTTTTTTTTCTTCTTTTACATATTAATTTTATTTAAAAATGAAAAAATCCATTAATGGTACAAACGATATTTTAAAGACTTAATAATGACCAAGTGATTTAACAATGAACTAAACAATGAAAATCTAACATATTTATCGCATATTAACAGCAATTATAATAATTGCATATAAATATAAAAGATAAAAAATTTATTATTTATAAGAATTATTAAACCACTTATAGAAATATTTATCTATACCAAATATCAGTTAATATTATTGCATAATTGAATTGCGTGATTACGATATTATTCCAGGACAGTAAATAGACAATATAATATCTGTATGAACGAAAATCAAAAGATTTAAATTAAATGCACTCAAATTAAGTGCGTATTAATAATAATTAATTGGATTTGCTTATTATTAATGTTAATAAGACATGCCCTTGAAATCATTATAAATTTAAAATATCGTATCAATTATAAAGTAAATTAATAAGTCCAGCCATCTCTCACTTACACAATGCCAACGAAACTTTATTAATTTATTATCCATTTGCACGTGAAACCATTCAAATACCATTACAGCTTAAAGAAGATTAATAACGATTAAATTAATGTGAAACCAATTTTATCACGCGCCATATGTTATGAATGACAAAATGGAGCTCGAACTTCCAAATAAGTCGTACAAATAATAATGCTCTGCCTAACTTGATCAACAATACGAACTCCAACTTTCTGCCAAGCGCTGATGAAAATGAGAAAAATACACAATCCCCCATGAGAATTACGGGGAATATTGGGAACGATGGCTTTCGCCAAAATAGCCAAGGCTTATCAGCAACGGCGTGCGGCAACTCGCGATCTCAGCCCTAAATCTACACGGCGCAGGATATCGTGTGACGGACACACGCCGGGGGCACATTAATATTATTAATATGAAAAACATAATAAGCGGCTCACCGAGCAGCACGTCCTCGTCGATCTCGTCCTCGAAGCGCAGCTCGAGCTCGTTGAGTCCGCCCCGATTGTCGAGCTGCTGCTCGTCGAGCTCCATCTGCGAGTGCGGCCAAAGCTCGGCGGCGAGGAGCTCCGCCAGGATGGGCAGGTAGGGCGAGCCCGTCTGTGGCCTTGGACTCAAGCCGGCCCTAAGGCAGCCCGGCAGCCAGAGTCCGAGCAATCCGCAAGGTACCGTGACAGCACCTGCACTCGCGAGGCCGCCGTTCACCAGCTCGCCGCACAACATAGGGCCTCCAAAGCCACCCCCGTCGGCCCCGCTGACCTCAACCTACCGAGGTACGGCTGAGTGTTGTTGGCTGCAGCTCCCCGACCGGGCCCTCCTCTTACCTGTAACAGCCGAGCATTGTCCTCATTAATTAACCGGGGGTATTCGAGTCTGGATCGCGCTCGTTCGCTGTCCTCCTCCATCGCGTCTCGCACTCCACGCCCGATTCTCGATTAATGCGTGCAGCCCCGCACACTCACCAATTATCCAATCATTTTTCCAATGCTGCCATTTTTCCAATAATAATCCACAATATTGCCAAACATTCCATAATATTTCAACTCTCCTTACTCTATTACGTCACTCTGTGGCATTTCCGCGGATATTAGTAAGCTGTTGTATGCACGAAAGAGATACAGAGAGAGAGAGAGAGAGAGAGAGAGAGAGAGAGAGAGAGAGAGAGAGAAATACGATACCTTCCAAGCATAGTCTATTTGTTGACTCGAATGCACGAGTTTACTCGGAAATTTCTCAAACTCCTTTCTACCAACCCTCTTTCGATCACTTTACTTTCAAAGAAGACTTTTGCCACCGTATTAACAGATGGAAAGCTGCTGGACAAAAAGCTACCGAAGCCACTACGATAATGAATGTTTCACTTCAGAAATGATAATTATAAAGCGGCAATTAGTCAAAAGTATTTGAATACGAGGCAACGAAGCAATTGCGATACAAACGACACATATTGCGGATTTATCCAAAGAACGCGCCATTTGTCATTGCCGAGCTATAATTCCCAATGCGCTGAAAGTTTGCGCTTCTTCGATATGTCGCATGAGCGCCAGTGCAATGGAAACGTCACTGCAAACATTGAACAAGGGCTGACTATCGTCGGATTCCAGTATGCGAACTTAAAAAATTCAGTAGCTTGAGTAATTCCATCGATTGCGTAGCTGTAAATACGAGTATGGCCGCTTGCAAAGTCTGACTTTAGCATTTACCAAATGTATGGATGGGGTCAATGGAATCTGGAATCTGGAAGACCGACAGGTCTCTGACGATTGTACAACAATAGATTGAGTATAATTAAGCATAATCGGTACGTTGAGAGTCAATGGGAGTGAAGATAACGTTAACATCGTCCAAACAACTAAGAGTTTTCACTTGTGAATTCTAGCCATAATAATATTAACTGGCAAATGATTTTTCATTTCTCTTTCTCTCTCTCTCTCTCTCTCTTTCTCTCTCTCTCTTTCTCTCTTACAAAGCATTGCAAACAAATTTGATTCTACATAAATATATCTCTGAATATAAAGAAATACTCGTCGGATGCTATTAATTGCTCTTACAACACAACTCGGATCTTGTAGATTTTTACTGAATTTACCACCTTTTACCACCGAATTTTTTTATGTAATAATATAAAATCATTGCTAAACTATTAATATCTCCGTCTCTGATATATATATATATATATATATATATATATATTCTCTCAAAATTTAACGCTTTAATTGGAATAATCGAGAATTCCGTTTGTAATAAATTTCAAGCTACAAGCTTTGCCGTTGAATTTATGAGTTTAATACTTTTAACGCATTAACAATAAAGACTTTCGACCTTTTGCTACAATTTTCTTTCCTTCCTTCATTTGAAAGCTTCGTTTAAACTAAGTTAAATCAATCGATAGTCTGACAATTTGTTTACGGGCAACCTTATTGTATCAATCAAAAAATTCATCATAAAATATCCTAATATAATAATAGTTTTATTATTACTTTTTCAAATTCATTGTATTCTACTAAAGTGAGCTACAACGCATACATAAAGTGGAATAAATTTTAAAAGCAAACATACAAACAAAAACAGCCACAACAAAAATAAATTTTTCATAAAAACAACGAAAAACTAAATCGTGTGATTGACAATAAACGATGATTGTATTTATTATGACGTTTTTGCGATAGAAAAAAATGCCAAACCATAGAGAATACACAGAATTTAAAATATCGACCTAAATTTTTTTTTCTTTTTTTTTTTTCATTCATTTTCATTTATCTTCACGGACCGCAACGATGCTAATTTAAGCATAATTCCAAGACCGTTTAAAAGACCCAGAGCGCACAATAAATTCCAGGATCGAATGTTTCGAGTAAAACGTCGTGACCGCGGAAGAGAACGATATCCCCAATACGGCACGTCACGTACGGCAATAACGATCGAACGGCAAAGAATTCAGCCCCTCCCTCTATAGACTCAATCATCGATTCATCGCCAATCATTCAGTACCATCGACGACCATCCCGGCCAACGGAAGAGCAATAAATAGTAAACAAAAGAGTAGGGTGAGAAGCGAGCGGCTCCTCGCTCTCGGGGATACGTCGTTACGCCTTCTCCTCGGCGTCTCTTTAACTCGCGCGCTTTTCCCCACTTGCCATCCCCGATCCCCATTCCCATCGCTACCGTAGCAGCAAGTTCCGCGGCTCTCGTTGCACCGCTTCGCTCCATTTCACTTAATTTAACGGCGGCCTTACACATCCGCCCGAGAGTGCCGTAGTAGCCCTACTACGGCTGGACGAGGAAAACTTCTAAGCCCTGCAACTATTTTCCCGGCCACTCGTCCCGCGCTTGGCCACCGCTACCTTTACCGCCTCTTTACTAATCTCCTCGCTCTTATCACATTGCCGTGTATGGATGGAGGAGCACGTCGAGAACGAGGACTCTTTCGATGCGCGTTTTATTGCGTGTGGAGCAACGTTCATTAGTTAGCTGACCACCAGGTACACGTAATTGCCCGCCTACATGGCATTTTTGGCATGGAGAAACGAGCTTTCCCTTATGGGCTTCCGCAAGCGAATGCGCAGGAACATCGTCAGCGTAGAATTAACAATTTATCTCTGTCCTTGTAAAGAAAATCGACGAAATATACGTGTACGCTAATGGGCGCTTAATTACAAAATTACACGGAAAAGGTTGAATATATCATTTAAACTTTAAAGAGATAAACGTATTGGCAATTACGTTTAATTCAACGATAATTTCTCTAATGTTCAAAAGGCTGCTGTTTTGAAATTACATTATATATAATTTTATTGGCAAGTCAGCTACAAACAATAATAATTTCGTTAATTTACGCATTATATCGTGTAATTAGTAATCAAAGAGCAAAATTTACGTAACAATTTTATGTGTATTATTTATTCTTTTAAAAAGTAGGATAATTACCATAGAAGCTTTACAACAAATATATATATATATATATTTTTTAATCAAGATCACATATTCTCGAAATCACGATATATTGCAATGTAATTTCTTCTGATATATATATATATATATTTTTTAATCAAGATCACATATTCTCGAAATCACGATATATTGCAATGTAATTTCTTCTGATCTAAAAAAAAAAAAAAAAAAAAAAAAAAAAACATGAAATAGAGGTTTTAATAATAATGCTATTTAAAAAGTAAGCGTATCTTTAATTAATCACAGTAGACGGGATAATATCCTGGCCATTTGTTTATAATTTTCATATGTACTCAATCTTGTTTTGATTAAATCTTCGGATCAATATGCTGAAATCATCGCGAACGATATCCAGAGGCAGCCATATACCGAAAATTGGATATCCCATTCATCATATATCAAAGTAATTTTCTCCTAATGGTAATGCGAAAATGTTTGTTTGACAAATACATCCTTCAGTTATTTGCGTAATTTTTTAAAATTATTTTTCTCTCTGTGAAATAACAGAATATGCGAATAATTATCAATGCTGTCGAAAATAAGTATAATTGTCTGCCCAATTAATGCGAATCGTCCGATACAAATTTGATTTAACTTTCCAAAACACTACGTAATAATGTATTATTATAGAAAAGTATATTTTGCATAATTTTGTCGCAAAGATTTTCTTTCACATGGCGTCTCGTCGTGTGAACATTACCGTCAATATCTCAATTCTCCACCTTCGCATCAATGACAATTTTTACGCGATTTAACACGAATAATAGATTCGACAAATTCATCATATAAAAAAATCTCATATCACCATCATTATAAAACTGTCCCTCTTCGTAACCCGTGCTAACTGAGCAAATTGCATTGTAATAATGCCACGATTGGCGTAAGAGCATGACTTGCCAAAAGAAGAGTAAGACGAATAGGAAGAAAAGTATGGAGATTAAGCTCGTTGTCTTAGCTTTTTTCTCTATGTTCTTGTGCCCCGTGAGCCGACTCCATCACGTAGTGCGCGCAATAACAACATTATAGCAGTTGCGCCAATTCACGTTTACACACACAGAGAGAGAGAGAGAGAGAGAGTGAGAGATGGACTTCTCTAAAATAAAAATATATGATTTAACCCGACAACTGGGCAGCACTCGCCTCTCTCTTCTCATCCGAGAACTAATATCTGCAAGGTGAGCGCCTCGTAAAGCCGACAAACTCAACGTAATTGTATCCCAGACGGCCTTCGGCCAAATGAGATTTTACCTCTATCTGACGGCCTTATTTTTCCACCCCACCCAACGTGTTGTCTAGGTTGAGCAGTCGTGTGCCTCGTGTCCAGAAGGCTTTCCTAATTTAGCGCCACTGCGATTGAACGACGGGAGTCTCGTCTAGCTCTCATTTCCAGCAATCGAGATTCGCTCGAGGATTTCCTCGGATATCTCTGCACTTTTTCTTAAAGTTATCGCGAAAAACTTTACACGTGCTTGTACGAAGGTCGAGAAAAAAGGCATTGGGACAATTTTCACGGCCACTAAAACATTACGTCACATTGTCGTTTGAATTCAATTCTCGACAGGCTCTAACAAAGCATTAATAAAGCAAAATAAAGCAAAATAAAGCAAAATAAAGCAAAACAAAGCAAAACGAAGCAAAACCGAAGCTAAACAGAAAAGAAGGGCCGGAGGTTAATAACGAGATTTGGGCCAGTCGGTTATTTCAATGCCTTTAACGATAAGTAAATCGGGATAAATTTCTTCATCCGTAATAACGTGAATTCGTGTATATCGAATAAAAGAACTGCAGCGCTTTTCAC